CCACAACAGTGAGAGGCCCACGTACCGCAAAAAAAAAAAAAAAAAAAAAAATCAAATGTGACTCCACATTAAGAGGGTTGCTAAAAAAGACAAGAAATAACAAGTGTTGGTGAGGGTGTGGAGAAAAGGGAACCCTGGTGCACTGCTGGTGGGACTGTAAATTGGTGCAGCCACTATGGAAAACAGTATGGAGGTTACTCAAAAAACTAAAAATAAAATTACCATATGGTCCAGGATTTCCACTCCTGAGTATTTACTAAAGAAGACAATAACACTAATTCAAAAAGATACATGCATCCCTATGTTCACTGCAGCATAACTGCCAGGATATGGAAGCAACCAAAGTGTCCACTGATAGATGAATGGATAAAGAAGATACACACACACACACACACACACACACACACACACACACACACACACACAGAGCCTGGAATATTAGGCAGCCATAAAAAATGAAATCTTGCTATTTGTGACAACATGGATGTAACTTGAGAGCATTATGCTAGGTGAAATAAGTCAGACAGAGAAAGACAAATATCATAAGATTTCACTTATATGTGGAATCTAAAAAACAAACAAGCAGTGTATGTACAACTGACTCACTTTGCTGTACAGCAGAAACTAACACAGCATTGTAAATCAACTATAATAAAAAAAACTATAATAAAAAACTATAAAAACAGCATTGTATATCAACTATAATAAAAAATTAATTTAAAAAATAAAGTATCCTTGCTACTAAAAAGAAAATTTTTATTTAAAAACAAACAAAAAAATCAAAGCAAAACTAGACTCACAGACACAGAGAACAGACTGGTGGTTGTCAGAGGAGAGGGGAGGTCGGGGGGTGGGGACATGAATGGGGGAGGTTGAGAGGTACAAACCTGCAGTTATAAAGAGAATAGGTCATGGGGATGTAATGTACACCATGGGGAAATATAGTCAATAATATTGTATTAACTTTGTATGATGACAGCAACTAGACTTATTGTGGTGATCATTTCAAAATGGACATAGACATTGAATGTGGTACACCTGAAATTAATATAATATTGTATGTCAATTATACTTTAATAAAAAAACTTGCTGATAATAAAACTGAGATTCAGGACTTCCCTGGTGGCACAGTGGTTAATACAGAATGTTAGTAAAAATTATTTGAAACAGCCCACAAGTCCAGAAGAAGATTAATCACATAAATTACAATGTAGCCATGGGATAGGATATTATGCAACTACTAAATACACCGCTTTGAAGAATATTTAATGACAAGGGAAATGGCCATAATACATAGTTAATTCAAAACTGCAGGTTACAGACATCCCTGGTGGCACAGTGGTTAAGAATCCGCCTGCCAATGCAGGGGACACGGGTTCGAGCCCTGGTCTGGGAGGATCCCACCTGCCTCGAAACAACTAAGGCTGTGTACCACAACTACTGAGCCTGTGCTCTAGAGCCCATGAGCCACAACTACTGAGCCTGAGTGCCACAACGACTGAAGCCCGCACACCTAGAGCCCGTGCTCCGCAACAAGACAAGCCTCCACAATGAGAAGCCCATGCACACCGCAACGGAGAGCAGCCCCCGCTCGCCACAACTAGAGAAAGCCCGCCCGCAGCAATGAAGACCCAACGCAGCCAAATATAAATAAATTAATTTTTTTTAAAAACTGCAGGTTATAACTATATCAACATAATGATCCCAATTTTTAAACATACATATATACATGTACTTGATAAAAGATAAGGAAACATACCACAATATTAATGGAAATTCTCTGCGGGTGATGGGGTCACAAGTTAATTTTATATTTTTTTAACTTTTCTATCTTTTCTAAATTTTCTCTAGTAAGGAAATGACATTTCATATCATACACAAACATATTATGTATATTTTAAGAATTGCTGAATATTCAAAGTCTGTCCTCCTACTCACCTAAATTAAGGAAAAGTTCTCATGATTCTGGATGTTTCCCAGAGTAGCCTGTGTGGCTGGATTATTTTAAGTAATATCTAGGACCAAAAAGCTAATATTGATACACACACACTCACACAGATGGCAAGGACAATAGTGGCTTGGCTGTTCCAAAGCTAAGGCAGAAAACTGCCAGATCCAAGCCACTCCCACTCCTGGATGTGAGCCAGTTCTAAATTATCCAGACCCTTGGTTGGTTGTTTCTACTTCTCCTTGGAAGGTCTCCACCACAAAAAGAGCAAAGGCAGAGAAAGAAGTTGAGATCAAATTAGTAGTTTGCCTGCATTAGCAGCTCCGATCAAAAGGTTAGCAAGGGGCATAGAATGATGACTGAAATGAGCTTTAGAGGCTTTGCTGTGGGCTTGAATGATTTGTTCTCCAGTCCCCACGGAGAGCTGGAAGCTACCGACTTATTTTAAGCATCTGCGTCTACGTGCCAAAGTGCCCTGCAGGTGACAGCATCAGATTCCCGCAAATGTGTGCGTCTCCGCATGGGACTCAAAATCAGTTCTCCAAAAACACTGATCATTTCTTTAAAAAGAACACTAAATGCCTCAAGTCTCTCCAGGAAGTCACAGAGGAAAGGGCCAAGTCATAAATAAATTCACAAAAGATGCTTCATTTCTTCGAGAAGGGATTCTGTACAATCTGAGACTTCTACTGATACTGGATACCTAAATCTTTCTGACTAAACAACAGATGACCTCAATACACTTGACCCTTAAACAACATGGGGGTTAATTCACAAAGAACTTAGAGTCTGTCCCCTGTATCCAAGGTTCCTCCGCATTCGTGGATTCAACCAAGATGGACTGTGTGGTACTGTAGTCATTACTACTGAAAAATAACCACATATGAGTGATTCATGCAGTACAAACCTGTGTTGTTTGAGTGTCAGCTGTAGTGTGTGTGTGTGTGTGTGTGCGCGCGCACATAGGGTGTGTATGTGAGTGTGTATGCATAGGGTGTGTGTGTATATGTGCTTGGGTAGAAGTGTAAATGTGTACAAGTGAGTGTGTACAGGGCATGTGGGTATAGAAGCATATGAGTAGATGTGAGTGTGTGTGTACTCATAGGTGTGTAAAGGTGGTGTGGTAGGGAAGGAGGGAGTACAAAGAAACAGGAAGCAAGAGTAAATACAAAACACACCTCTAGATGAACAAAAAGGAATCACTATCTTTTAGACCACCGTGGAAAACCTGATTAAAATAAAGGGAAACTACTTTAAGTGCTACAAACATCACCAATATGATAACATATTCAATTTAGATAGCGTCCAACACATCACAAGACAAGGAACACCTCCATGCTGATCACTTAGGAAATTAAATATAAGTCCATACTATCCCTGTCCCCACCTAGCTATTGTTCTAAAAGACCTTCAGTCAATGCCTGATCCATTCCAACCAAGTCTGGTAATGTATCTAGAGCCCCATCCCCACCAATCTGGAGAGTTACTCCTGCTGCCTTTAGCCTGTTCTGAATCTCTGGGCATGCACATGAGTACACACACACCAATTATGCTTCTAGCCTGGTCAGTAGACACACACACTCCCCACCAATCTGGAGAGTTACTCCTGCTGCCTTTAGCCTGTTCTGAATCTCTGGGCATGCACATGAGTACACACACACACACACACACACACACACACACACACACACCTACAGACTTCACCAACCTCCCCACCCACCCACCCACAACTACCACACATGACTGCTCACCTGCCTCAGTTTCTTGTATAATTCTGTCTTGCTTGGTTCCATCCATCCATCCATCCATCCACCCATCCATCCATCCATCAATCCATCCAACATTAATTAAGAGTACTCTATATGTTATTCACTGGTGATCTCATGTACACCTCCAGTCTCTCAGCTGACTAACTCTTGTCAATCCCCTTCCCCAAATCGAAATATGGAACCTTGATGCCCACATTCCTAGGCCCCGGGCACTTGCTTAGGTACTGTTTAAAACCAGAGGCGACTCAAAATGGTTCCCATTCATCAAGGCAGAGGAAGCCTCTCCCAGAGGCCCCAGCTGCCATGTATATCCCACCACCCAACTCCAACGCACACGCATGCATGCACACACACACACATACACACATGAAGATCTGGTCCCTTGACATCAACCCAGGTTGAGCTGACTTTCCCTGCCCCACTGCCAATTTTACTCCTGGCAACCACCCCCATCCCTACCCCACACATATGTGCATCCTCTAGCTCCGGTCCCACTCATCCCACTTCGACCCCTCCAGTTTAGAATTGTAATTCTCATGGGCCTTACATCAAGATCACACAACAAAGATACCATTTCTTTGGTCAAAATGCATGTATAATAATATCAATAACACCTCACATAGCACTAGACTTACAAAGCATTTGTTGACACTTTCTGCATTTTCCCTCTACCTTGAACTTTCCAGCTCTACTACTCTCAGCGTATGATCCACAGACACCCCGCTGGAATAGAAGAAGGGAGTGCTTTGAACTCAAATGACGCAGAATCATATGTACCTATACGCACATGTGAAATATCTGAGACTAGTTCAGATTCAAAAGGAGCATGTGAGATGGGCAGTGAGCTCATCAGCCCCACCCGACCACGGATGCCGCAGTGCTGGATAAACCAGAAACTGGTGAGCCACCACAGTCCAAAGGAAAGTAAGGGAGACCAACAAAACAAGGGCACTAGGGGGAATGCAAGCCCTGTTTCAGTGACAAGTATTAAGTCCACTACGTAAGGAGCTGGAAGAAAAGCCCTGGTGTAGAACGCGGCAGGATTTGTGTCAGCTTTGCAAATAACATGGTCTGAGCAAGATGGCATGTGAGAAGCCGGGTCTCTCCTCGGCCTCTACGTGTCCTGAGCACAGGAAACCGACCCTGGCCCCAGACACCACGGCCTGGCGCCTCCATAAAGCACAGCCAAGCTCAGGGGCATTGGCCTGGAGTTCTCCATTGTGCTGCTCCCACCCTCCACCCCCCGGCAACTCCCCAAACCTGAGGAGCTTTGTAGGGCTTGCCTTTTATCAGCCGCTCAGGTCTCGTCCCGGGTAAGGTCCACATTGCCTGTGCCAAGTGCCCAAAGACGGTGGCGTCTAGAGTGGAAAGCTTGGGCCCCATGATGTACTTCTTATCACCTGCAGCAGAGAGAGCAGAGAGAGGTCACTGGGCCAGCCCTCACCGTCCCACTACGTCACAACAGCATTCAGCACGCACCCATTATATGCCCGTTTAAGTGTGCATCAAAAGCTTTGCAAAACCAGGGCTTCCCTGGTGGCGCAGTGTATGGGAGTCCGCCTGCCGATGCGGGGGCCGCGGGCTCGTGCCCCGGTCTGGGAAGATCCCACATACCGCAGGGCGGCTGGGCCCGTGAGCCATGGCTGCTGAGCCTGCGTGTCCGGAGCCTGTGCTCCGCAACAGGAGAGGCCACAACAGTGAGAGGCCCACGTACCGCAAAAAAAAAAAAAAAAGCTTTGCAAAACCAAATGTATGTACCCCCTTTGACTTATAACTAGAAACAAAAGTAAAGCAAATTAAACAATTCTGCGATATATCAACCCATACAACAGCAAAGCAGGGAAGTAACTGGAAACATATCAAGATATGTGGATGAGAGAGGGGGTTCCTGGAAAAAAAGAAGAATTGATCACCCCCAGACCTCCAGAGGCACCTCCTTGTGTCCAACTATAGCCATTAAAGTTTGAGGTGCTTGAGAACACCTGGAAGTTTGCTTAAACCATCTCTAGTAACCCCAGCCAAGCACACCCAGCCTCAGCACTTACTTTATTAAATTAATTCATTTCCTCGGGAAAAACAAGAAGCCTAAGCTACTTAGGAAGTTTGGAGGCAAGGCTTTCCATGATGTCTCCATGGTCTTGGCAAAGTTCTCACCACTGAGCACCAGCAGGAAACAAACATAAAGAGAAGCTTTAAAATTGCAGACCCAGCCCTGGGATCAGGCTCCCATACAGGGATGTCTTACTTTGCCATTCCCAGCTCTCCTTTTCTACCACGGCTGACCTAGTTCAGGCCTTATCACCTGGACTTATCACATCTTACCTACTACAATTGCCCCAGGTTGTCTCCAGGCCATTGTGTTGCAGGATAAAGAGGCAGAGCCCAGGTGGAAACGGATCCATCCTACTTCACATCCTGCCACCACTGTTATTCACTACGGAAAGTCTGGTCATTAACTAACCTCGCAAAGCTTCAGTTTTCCCATCTGGAAAATGGGGATGATATTAAGGGTATTTCTTAGGGCTACTGTGAGGATTAAATGACATAACACATGTAAAGCACTTAGCGCCGTATCTGGTTAACTCATCAAACACCAGCACTCATGAGGAGAGACCCTCTGTTTCTCCGGTCCATTCCATATCCCACCCATACTTAAATCTCTAAGACACTCTTTTCACTGTGGCACTCCCTTTCACAAAGGGAAAGGGTTTATGAAATGGGCTATGAAATACAGTCCAAACTCAACCTGGAATCCAAGGCTCATCGAACTCTGTTCCCACCCATATTTCAGCTTTATCCCTCATCCTCCTTTACCCTAGCAGACCCAGAACAGCTCCACTCCCCAGAACGCTTCATGCTTCCCACTGCCACACCTCTGCCCCCCAAAACCCATATGTGCCCCCCACTTCTCTCCATCTGGTAGATTCTATCCATCTTTCCACCAGAAGCCTCCTTTCAAAGCCACCTCAGGGCAATAGAAGCTTTCAGTTCAGACAGCCCTGTTTCAAATCTCACTTTTATACATATGACCCAGTTTCAGAGAGGAGAAAACAAGTTAAAGGAGAGCTACACTGGCTTACTGGCCCCCCAGAATGTTGAGTTCCTTAAATGGCTAAAAGGAAAGAGTCTAAGGGAAATGCCAGAGTAAACTGTGAATTCTGTTGTAGACTCCAAAGACTTTGCGGGGGCAAGAGGAAAAAACGTACATGAGTTTATAAAAACAGGAAATCGGGCTTCCCTGGTGGCGCAGTGGTTGAGAGTCCGCCTGCTGATGCAGGGGACACGGGTTCGTGCCCCGGTCTGGGAGGATCCCACATGCCGCGGAGCGGCTGGGCCCGTGAGCCATGGCCGATGAGCCTGCGCGTCCGGAGCCTGTGCTCCGCAACGGGAGAGGCCACAACAGTGAGAGGCCCGCGTACCGCAAAAAAAAAAAAAACAGGAAATCTAAAAATAGAGCACTTAAGACCTTGATAAAAGGGAAAAAATACTAAATATAATCATTTGGATCCATACATCAACTAACGCATATAGTGTTCAGCCCAAATTTGCCATTTGGCTCAGAATGTTAAACCTGGAAGGATACTGAGTCAGTAACAGAACTAGACTAAAAATGCTGGCACCCGGGCCTCCTGACTCCCAGCCTGATGCTCTCTGCTCTGTACAATATGCCGTGAGGAGAACCACCTCAGAGATAAAGACCCTACATGCAACAGCAAGAGGGTTGAGCTGTGGACGTTTACAAAAGGATGCTTTAGTCAGGAGGGAACACAGAATACAGAAGGAAAAAAAAGAACAAAAGTCTAAGGGTTTTTAAAGGAACTTGCCAAAAAAAAAAAAAAAAAAAAAAAAAAAGAAACAAAAAAAAAAAAAAAAGATTAAAAAAAAAAAAAAAAAAAAAAAAAAAAAAAAAAAAAACAAAGGATAGAATTTAGCCTTCATGGTAGATACACAATTATATGTATATATACACACAAGACAGTTATAAATTTAAAGAATATAAAAATACCCTCTGTTACTACAAAATCCTCCGGTCTTTCTGTATACCCTTCAACCAGCTTCTGCTAAGATTAACATCTTAGGTAACCACAGTACATTTACCAAAACTAAAAAATTAACATCAATACAATACAATTAACTGCACTATAGGCTTCATTCAAATTGTATTAGTTTGTCAACTAGTATCCTTTTCTGTTCCAGGGTACCAGCTAGGATCCCACACTGCACTTAGTTATCAGGTTGCCTTAAGTCTCCTCCAACCTCCTCAGGCTTGCCTTGTCTTTCATAGCCTTGACACTTTTATTAAAGAATACTGGTCAGTTATTTTGTAAAATTTTCATCAACTTGGGTTTGTCTAAGGTGGTTAATAATTAGAGTAGTCATGCATTTTTATGAAGCCTTCTGTGATGGTTATTTTATGTGCCAACCTGACTGGACTACAGCTGCTAAGTTACGTGGTCAAACATTATTCTGGGTGTTCCTGTGAGGGTGTTTTGGATGAGATTAACATTTAAGTGGTAGAGTGAGTAAAGCAGAATGCTCTCCCTAATGTGGGTGGGCCTCGTCCCATTAGATGAAGGCCTTATTGGACCATAGGGCTGACTCTCCCTGGAGAGAATTCCTCCTGCCTGACTGCCTCTGCACTGGGACATGGGCTTTTTCTTGCCTTCAGACTTAAATGGAAACATTGGCTCTTTCTTGGTCTTGAGCCAGTTCATACTGGAACTACACCATCAGCCCTCCCAGGTCTCCACCCTGCCAACCCACCCTGCAGATCTTGGGACTTGTCAGCCTCCACAGTTGTATGAGTCAATATAACTTTATTATAGAAGAGAAACAGACACGGATAGATCTAGATATCTATATCTTGATCTCCTATTGGCTTGTTTCTCTGGAGAACCCTAATACCCCTTCTCGGGGCATCATATCAGGGGGTCCACAATGTCCATATGTCCGTATCACTGGGGATGTTAACCTTGACCACGTGGTGAAGGTGGTGTCTATAAGGTTTCTTCACTGTAATGTTACTATTTTTCCTTTTGCAATTAATAGCCTTGGGAGAGAAACTTTGAGACTGTATAAATATCCTGTTTCTCCTCAAACTTTGGCCCACTAATTTTAGCATCCATCAGTAGATGTCATCTGAAACAATTATTCCTGTGGTGTTTGCCTAATCAGGATTTTCTATTTCTCTCAATCCTTCTACAGGTATTGATCCAAATACTACTGTTCCCTTCATCCCCCATTTACTGACGTATTCCATTATTTATTTAAGTGTGCACTTGTCGATATATATTTTATTCTATGGCCTATAATCCAGTACTCTCATTATTCTTTTTGCTGTTCAAATTGTTCCAGATTTGGCTTTTTGAGCTTGGCAGGAAGTATTTCTAAGAGGGAGACTGAATTTAGATTAGACTCTGCTTAGAGATGAAGAGGACAAGCCAAAGTCTCAAGTCTGCAGCACGCCCAGGCTTCACCAAGTGAGCCCATTTTTCATTAGTGGAGGGTGTCAGCAAAAACAAAACACTTCGGGCACTTCTGAAGGGCACTGAAGGAGCAGGCTTGGGTGACGAGGCAACTCAAGCCTCATTTTCAGTAGGTAAACCACCCCCCCAGTTTCTGTAGAGATGGACAGAGGGAGCTGAGGGATATCTGAGCACCTGTAACTCCCTGCCAGCCCCCAGATTTGGTGTGTGGACCATGAACCACTGGTGAGAGCAAATAAAGATTGAAAATATCAGAAACACTGGGAGGTGAGGGACCCAGGGTACATGGGACTCCCTAAGGGATGAGGAGAGGACAAATAGAGAGCAACATGGATCTTAAAAGTCCCACCAGAGGGAGGGACCGCAAAACACAGCAAATGAGGAAGCACTCCTGGTCTAGGCTGTTTGCCTGCTGCCTGCCTCTCAGCCTCTTCCTCGGGGAGGATGCATGAGAGCTGCCAGCAGATAGGTCTCTCCAGGCCCCGGCAGGACAAGTCAAGGTCTACCTCATGTGAATGCCCTACTTCAGTCAAATATGCCGGGAGCTCATCCCATCACCATCCTTCATCCCATCCTTCCTGTCTCAAATAACCTCCACTTGTCTAACCCAACCCTTCCCTTATGACTGAGATCAAGTTCTCCCTCCTCCAGTCCAGGAAGGCTACCTGCACTGTCCACTCCCCTAGCACCTCTCATTGCCCACTCCCCTGCCAAACCCCAGAGGGACCACTGCTTAGAGCAGGGCTGCTCAAAGGATAGCCTGATGCCAGCATCAGCATCACACATGCTGAGGTCCCATCTACTGAATCAGAATGACTGGGAGTGAGACTGGGAGAAAATCTGTGTTTCAACAAGCTTCCAGGTCAGTGTTTCTTAAACTTTAGAGGCATAAAAATTCCCTGGAGAGCCTGCAG